AAATGAGTCTCACTCATACTAAAAATCAATTTTATGATTGTTTGCTGTTTGTATGTCATAAATTAAGATTTCTTTTTATATTACATATTAACATCTAAAATTTTTTATATATAGTTCCACATAGTTGAAGAAAAACTTTTTGAAAACATTTTGGAAAAAACATTAATATCAAAGTGCGTCATTGATGTTTCATTTCTTTCTTTTGTTATTTGGCAAGTTATTTATTACTTTAGTAAAGTAATACTAAAGAGATTTGTTTCTACAATTGTTACATATATGTTAAAAATATTTAAGATTTTTTTTAAAGTAAATTTTGTCTATTATATTATTTTAGTGTATATTTTTCTTTATAAATTTTAGTACAATAAATCTGCACTATTTTTTAAACAAAATTAAATTTTTTGTTAAAATTTTCTTTTAAAGCAAATTCGTTGAACTTTACACGAGTATGTCTATTTTCATACAATGTAATGTTAGTATTTTCGTGGTACTGAATCTTAAGTTCTCAAATTATATGGATTTTATTTGTTATTTAATGCATCCTTTTGATTCATAAAAAGAGAAAACTAAAATTTTAAGAGTCCTTTTGAAAAAAAACGAGTTTTAAACGCATGCTCACAGAGAGACCGACTAAATTGTTTTCAAAATTAAATCCTACTCAGTCCAAAAAAAACAGCATAATTTTGTTTTAGATTTTTCGCTATGTAGTCAATTTGACGTTTTTCAAATGACAATTGTGGGGAAATGCGATTTAGCGGTTAGCTGGATATTTGGGTATAGCCAGCGTTTGGAGATTTCTAGTCTATAGTCTAGTCTATATTCAAGTCTGTAGTCTAGTCTATAGTCAAGTATATTCTAGCTTCTAGTCTAAAGTCTAGTCTATAGTATATAGTTTTGGCTGTATTCTAATCTATAATCTAGTCAATAGTCTAGTCTATAATCTAGTCTATAGTCAAGTCTATAGTCAAGTCTATAGTCAAGTCTATAGTCTAGTCTAGTCTAGTCTATAGTCTAGTCTATAGTCTAGTCTATAGTCTAGTCTATAGTCTAGTCTATAGTCTAGTCTATAGTCTAGTCTATAGTCTAGTCTATAGTCTAGTCTATAGTCTAGTCTATAGTCTAGTCTATAGTCTAGTCTATAGTCTAGTCTATAGTCTAGTCTATAGTCTAGTCTATAGTCTAGTCTATAGTCTAGTCTATAGTCTAGTCTATAGTCTAGTCTATAGTCTAGTCTATAGTCTGGTCTATAGTCTAGTCTATAGTCTAGTCTATAGTCTAGTCTATAGTCTAGTCTATAGTCTAGTCTAGTCTATAGTCTAGTCTAGTCTATAGTCTAGTCTATAGTCTAGTCTAGTCTATAGTCTAGTCTATAGTCTAGTCTATAAGTCTAGTCTATAGTCTAGTCTATAGTCTAGTCTATAGTCTAGTCTATAGTCTAGTCTATAGTCTAGTCTATAGTCTAGTCTATAGTCTAGTCTATAGTCTAGTCTATAGTCTAGTCTATAGTCTAGTCTATAGTCTAGTATATAGTCTAGTCTATAGTCTAGTCTATAGTCTAGTCTATAGTCTAGTCTATAGTCTAGTCTATAGTCTAGTCTATAGTCTAGTCTATAGTCTAGTCTATAGTCTAGTCTATATTCAAGTCTGTAGTCTAGTCTATAGTCAAGTATATTCTAGCTTCTAGTCTAAAGTCTAGTCTATAGTATATAGTTTTGGCTGTATTCTAATCTATAATCTAGTCAATAGTCTAGTCTATAATCTAGTCTATAGTCAAGTCTATAGTCAAGTCTATAGTCTAGTCTATAGTCTAGTCTATAGTCTAGTCTATAGTCTAGTCTATAGTCTAGTCTATAGTCTAGTCTATAGTCTAGTCTATAGTCTAGTCTATAGTCTAGTCTATAGTCTAGTCTATAGTTTAGTCTATAGTCTGGTCTATAGTCTAGTCTATAGTCTAGTCTATAGTCTAGTCTATAGTCTAGTCTATAGTCTAGTCTATAGTCTAGTTTATAGTCTAGTCTATAGTCTAGTCTATAGTCTAGTCTATAGTCTAGTCTATAGTCTAGTCTATAGTCTAGTCTATAGTCTAGTCTATAGTCTAGTCTATAGTCTAGTCTATAGTCTAGTCTATAGTCTAGTCTATAGTCTAGTCTATAGTCTAGTCTATAGTCTAGTCTATAGTCTAGTCTATAGTCTAGTCTATAGTCTAGTCTATAGTCTAGTCTATAGTCTAGTCTATAGTCTAGTCTTTAGTTAGTCTATAGTCTAGTCTATAGTCTAGTTATAGTCTAGTCTATAGTCTAGTCTATAGTCTAGTCTTTAGTCTAGTCTATAGTCTAGTCTAGTCTATAGTCTAGTCTATAGTCTAGTCTATAGTCTAGACTATAGTCTAGTCTATAGTCTAGTCTATAGTCTAGTCTATAGTCTAGTCTATAGTCTAGGCTATAATCTAGTCTATAGTCTAGTCTATAGTCTAGTCTATAGTCTAGTCTATAGTCTAGTCTATAGTTAGTCTATAGTCTGGGCTATAATCTAGTCTATAGTCTAGTCTGAGTCTAGTCTATAGTCTAGTCTATAGTCTAGGTCTATAGTCTAGTCTATAGTCTAGTCTATAGTAGTCTATAGTCTAGTATAGTCTAGTCTATAGTCTAGTCTATAGTCTAGTCTATAGTCTAGTCTAGTCTAGTAGTCTAGTCTATAGTCTAGTCTATAGTCTAGTCTATAGTCTAGTCTATAGTCTAGTCTATAGTCTAGTCTATAGTCTAGTCTATAGTCAGTCTATAGTCTAGTCTATAGTCTAGTCTATAGTCTAGTCTATAGTCTAGTCTATAGTCTAGTCTATAGTCTAGTCTATAGTCTAGTCTATAGTCTAGTCTATAGTCTAGTCTATAGTCTAGTCTATAGTCTAGTCTATAGCTAGTCTATAGTCTAGTCTATAGTCTAGTCTATAGTCTAGTCTATAGTCTAGTCTATAGTCTAGTCTATATCTAGTCCTATAGTCTAGTCATAGTCTAGTCTATAGCTAGTCTATAGTCTAGTCTATAGTCTAGTCTATAGTCTAGTCTATAGTCTAGTCTATAGTCTAGTCTATAGTCTAGTCTATAGTCTAGTCCCCTATAGTCTAGTCTATGTCTAGTCTATAGTATCTATAGTCTAGTCTATAGTCTAGTCTATAGTCTAGTCTATAGTCTAGTCTATAGTCTAGTCTATAGTCTAGTCTATAGTCTAGTCTATAGTCTGTCTATAGTCTAGTCTATAGTCTAGTCTATAGTCTAGTCTATAGTCTAGTCTATAGTCAGTTACTATAGTCCTAGTCTATAGTCTAGTCTATGCTAGTCTATAGTCTGTCTATAGTCTATTCTATAGTCCCTAGTCTATAGTCTAGGCGATAGTCTAGTCTATAGTCTAGTCTATAGTCTAGTCTATAGTCTAGTCTATAGTCTAGTCTATAGCTAGTCTATAGTCTAGTCTATAGTCAAGTCTATAGTCTAGTCTATAGTCTAGTCTATAGTCTAGTCTATAGTCTGGTCTATAGTCTAGTCTATAGTCTAGTCTATAGTCTAGTCTATAGTCTAGTCTATAGTCTAGTCTATAGTCTAGTCTATAGTCTAGTCTATAGTCTAGTCTATAGTCTAGTCTATAGTCTAGTCTATAGTCTAGTCTATAGTCTAGTCTATAGTCTAGTCTATAGTCTAGTCTATAGTCTAGTCTATAGTCTAGTCTATAGTCTAGTCTATAGTCTAGTCTATAGTCTAGTCTCTAGTCTAGTCTATAGTCTAGTCTATAGTCTAGTCTATAGTCTAGTCTATAGTCTAGTCTATAGTCTAGTCTATAGTCTAGTCTCGTCTAGTCTCTCTAGTCTCTAGTCTATAGTCTAGTCTATAGTCTAGTCTATAGTCTAGTCTATAGTCTAGTCTATAGTCTAGTCTATAGTGTAGTCTATAGTCTAGTCTATAGTCTAGTCTATAGTCTAGTCTATAGTCTAGTCTATAGTCTAGTCTATAGTCTAGTCTATAGTCTAGTCTATAGTCTAGTCTATAGTCTAGTCTATAGTCTAGTCTATAGTCTAGTCTATAGTCTAGTTCTAGTCTAGTCTATAGTCTAGTCTATAGTCTAGTCTATAGTCTAGTCTATAGTCTAGTCTATAGTCCTAGTCTATAGTCTAGTCTATAGTCTAGTCTATAGTCTAGTCTATAGTCTAGTCTCTAGTCTAGTCTATAGTCTAGTCTATAGTCTAGTCTATAGTCTAGTCTATAGTCTAGTCTCTAGTCTAGTCTATAGTCTAGTCTATAGTGTAGTCTATAGTCTAGTCTATAGTGTAGTCTATAGTGTAGTTTTTATGACATGATTTAGCCTTCTAGCGGTTTTTGTGCCAAATTTTACGCGAAATGGTGAAATAAATTGACAACACTAATTTTCCCCCCAAAAAAAACAAATAAATTTAATTTTTATAACATTATTATGTCATGTACAGGCGTATAATGTGACAGAGAGAAGGGAGTTGAAAAAAATCGAGAGAGTACGGAATAATACAACATAATATGGAGCCGGTAATAATATTTGATGTTAAGGTAGTCCTATTATAACTCATAAGTATTACTGCCAAACACGTACACACTTATTTGGTATTTTTGTTTACTTTTTGTAACGAGATTAAATAAAGTTTGTGGTTTAATTTAATTAGTGTTAATTTAAGGATCTGCTAAATATGTATGCGTTTTATATTTGCGGTAAATGTTAGGAATAGAATATGTAGATAAAAACTTAATGTTTTGGAAAAAAGTGTTAAATTTGTTTAAGTAATCTTTGTGCTCAAAACACTTAAGAGTGGGATGGGTTCTGCAACAATGTTTTGGACCCGTTTGACAATAAAATATCTCAATCTTGACATTTTCATACAAAGGAATTAGATTTAGTGTCGTTCCTAAGAAGGGGTACTTCTTTTCAAATTCTTCCCTAGAACCCATTCCGAGCTTGCAATTTCAAACAAAATTTGTACTCACCATGTCATCGGTGAACTACCAATACTTGTAAATGGATCATCGTTAGCATCATAGAAATCTTCTTCGCCTTCGCTGCTTGAATATGATGTTTCCGGAACAATCATTGTTAAGGGTGCCGTTGTCACTATAT